AGGAATAAGGCGATCATTGATAGAACAACAAGCATCGGATCGATTTGCCAAATCATGAAACTACCATATAGCATCAACTCATTAAGAGGGGTATGTTTATTTCAGCAGATATTAGCGCGCTACCCCGACCTCACCAACGATTCACCCAAGGCGGACGTAACATCGACGGCCGTTCGACATTTCAACGAGACGAAAGGTGCCCCTGTGGTACAAAAAGTGCACCGACTCTCCCCCGAGAAGATCGCGGTTGCAAAAGGAGAATTCGAGTATTTATTAGACCGAGGAGTTTGCCAACGCGCGAAGAGCCAATGGGCTAGTCCACTGCATATGGTGCAGAAAGCGAATGGAAAGTGACGGTCTTGCGGTGATTATAGGCGGTTGAATGCGAAAACCTTGCCAGACAATTATCCGGTCCGCCATATACAAGATTTCAGAGGGGACTTGTATGGAAAAACTATTTTTTCCGTAATTGACTGTAAGAAGACCTACCGCCAAATCCCTGTACACCCAGCCGACGCTTTTTCGAATTAAATATATGACGTTCGGAGTTAGGAACGCAGCACAGACGTTCCAGCGTTTCATTGATGAAACAGTAATGGGATTGCCGTTCGTTTTCCCCTACCTCGATGATGTCACCGTCGCCTCCACGTCACCGGAGCAGCACGAGACACATCTCCGGCAGCTTTTTGATCGCTACCGAGATAAGGGCTTAATCATCAACAGCGAAAAATGCCAACTCGGCCGGGAGGAGGTAGAGTTTCTGGGCCATCTAGTCTCATGCAAAGGCATGAAACCACTGCCTCAGAAAGTAAGAGGCATCATAGCATTGAAGAAACCGAAGGAAGTCCACGAACTGAGGAGATTTTTAGGGGCCGTCAACTTTTACAGACGTTTTTTACCGCACGCTGCCGCCATCGAAGCGCCACTACAGCGACTCAATTATTGCCTGGACAGTAGAGTCGACGGAGGCTTTCGAAAATCTTAAGAGGCAATTGGCGGAGGCTGCCTTATTGGCTTTCCGGATGAAGGGCGCGACAATCGCTCTCATGACCGTGCCGTTCTTCAGTAACGGGTGAACAATGTTTGGGCGCCGTTGGGATTCTACTCCCAGAAGTTTACACCAAGCGAGAAGCGGTATAGCACATATGACCGTGAGTTACTTGCCATACATAAATCTGTGCGCCATTTCCGTTATTTTATGGAAGGAACGATTTTCGCAATACTTACAGATCATAAGCCGCTCACGCATGCACTCGATCAAGAGTGGGAATAACTATCCCTACGGCAAACTCGCCAATTGAATTTTATTTGCCAGTTTTCGTCCGATATACGGCACATCAGCGGAGCTGAGAACCTTGTAGCCGACATGTTATCAAGAATCGAAATGTTTTCGCTACCATCGCCGATAGACTTGTAGCAGCTGTACGAAGAGCAGAATAGAAGCGACGTGTTGAGGAGGCTGTTAAATGGTCAGACCACTTCGTTACACCTGGTCAAAAGTCAGTTTCCGGGTACTAGCGCACAAATCATTTGCGATAACTCAACGGGGACACTTCGTCCATACGTTCCGGACGTTTTGCGACAGGTGGGGTCCCTGGGAAGCGTTTTGAACATGTTAATGTGGACATCGTCGGCCCGTATGCCCCTTCGCGCGGATACACATACTGCTTAGCCTGTGTCAACCCTTTTTCACGATGGTTGGAGGTTATCCCTATAGCGTACATGATCGCCGAGACAGTGGCAAGAGGGCTTTTAAACGGTTGGATAAGCCGGTTTGGTACGCCAAAGTACATTACTACTGATCAGGGGCGTCAGTTCGAAGGTGCGTTGTTTAAACAACTAGCCAAGCTATTAGGCGTCAAACACATCCATACAACCCATTACCACCCTCAAGCTAATGGGTTGGTAGAGAGATGGCATCGAGTGTTGAAAGCCGCCCTCATATGTCACGCTGCAGACGCGAACTGGGTCGACGTCCTACCCATTGTTCTTTTAGGCTTACGAACGGCCGTGAAAGAGGGCTTGGGCGTATCCGTAGCATAGATGCTTTACGAACAACCTATCCGGTTACCCAGCGACTTCCTGGAGGCCGACGACAACGCACCTGTAGATGAGCAGAGTTTCCTGCAGGATTTGCCACAACATTTCGAAATTGCTAGGCCAACGCCAACTTCACAGCATGGAAAGCATACCGTTCTCGTGCCAAAAGATCTAAGATTCTGCAGTCACGTATTTTTACGTGATGACACTATCCGCAAGCCATTGAAGTCGCCGTACGAGGGGGCGTACCTCGTAGTTAACAGGTACGCCAAGACGTACACAATATTGATTGGATCAAGACAAGTGACGGTGTCCATTGACATGCTTAAGCCGACTTACTTCCCCAGGGACGAGTTAGCAGCGATACATCACCAACATACATAGTTACCCTGTTTACATTTCTCCGGTGCTAGGTCTGGAAGGGGGTGGTGTAGGGACCAACCCTAACACTTGCCGCAGTAGTTAAGTGGCAACATCAAAAGGCGCAGTAAACGAACAGAGCTGTTTGACATTCGTTTGTACTAACTGAAATCAACTTCATTCATTCAACGTATTTTCTAGCGACGCTAACGTCAGAATTGTCTGTGTGTAAAATCAACTTGTATTTGTTTAATTTTTAAGTTAATAAAGACATATAGAAATAGTATTTCTATAAGGGTAGTCCGGGGAACTTTTTTATCATCTACGGAATGACTATTTTCTAGATACTTTTATAGAATTTTTTTAAATAACTACAATTTTAAAACTATTGCGCGTAAACTAATGAAAAAATAAAAACTGACTTGTAAAAAGTTCTTATTTAATATAAAAATAATTTTAAAAAGTTACATTCACACATACTATAATAAATACAGGGCTACCGCGTATGACTGATTGAGGTGCCTGTGTGGACGTTATGCATTCGGCAAGTTGCGGGTAATCTAGTAACAGAATGCAAAAGGTTGCTTCATAACTATTACTGCCCCTTAGTTAGACAAACATTAAAGAATGTTCATACGTATTTTCATAGATATTAAAGATCATCGCAATTTTGGATTTTTGTCCAGCTAAATCATCACTTTTGCCTTATGCGTTGGGTGTTTTTCGGTGTTGCTGCATAGTGTGGCATAGGGGGAAGGGTGATCGCTACATATATACATACTTTTTAACATAGACTTTGCCTTTATAAAAAAAAATGTCGATACCCACTAACCAGTGTTGCCATTTTGGTGCTTTTGGAGCTAGATTTAGCTCTTTATTTTTCCATTTAGCTCCGAAAATTGGGCTTTTGCTCCTAGCTTTTTTTAGCTCTTTTCAAAATTATCTAGCACTTTTTAGCTCCAGAAAGTTTTAGTTGTGTTTGGTAATTGATTAAAATTACAAATCTGTAGGTTCATTGTACAAGTGTTGACTAAAATTTATTTGGCTTTGGCGATCTCAGGATATTTTCGATACCTTCATATTATTCTATTTCCATTAGTACTTAGAAAACTTCCATTCCTAATACAAATGGCGCGCAAGCAAATGGAAACTGTGCAGGTAAGTCAATTACTGTATGCAACGTGCGCGGGAGCACACATACTATACTGGACAGTAATTCGAGCTCCGATAAGCTCAGACGGTGTATTTTCTCAGGCGGCCACGGTAAAAAGGGAAAGCCAAAGCTTAAGCATTGATAAAGTTACAAATTTCGAAATTTAATGGAAAAATATACATTTGTATTCACTGGAAAATACAGACCTCACCATAAACTCATGGATCTAGGTTAATTAATTGAAAAATTAAGTAATATTAAATAATTAATAATTCAAAAATTAATTTTACATCTAAGGAGAGAAGGAAGTTAAACTTTTCAGACAAATTTTGTGAAAAAATTATTCGTAAACCGAGTTTTTATGGTCATTTCAACCATTTGAAATTGCAAATCTTAACAGTTTATAAAGTCCTTTTAGTTCATTGTCTAGTTTATATAAGAATGTGCATGCATATGAGTGTTATAACGAATTCGAAATATATGCACCTTATTTTGGTATTAAAAGTTTTTTTTAAGCACTTGAACTTATAAAATTCGTTGTTTTTATTAAAATTACAGAAAATGTAAAAACCACCTTACGTCAATAAATTTTCTACTTAAAAAAAATTACCTCTTCATTTTAGCTACTATTAGTATTATGTAGCTCTTTTTCGGCCGTTTTAGCTCCAAACGAATTTTTTTCTCTGGCAACACTGCCACTAACCCCTAAAATAGGCTTTAATGTGATTTTAGCCCCATTTCGGAATAAGTACAAAATTAATCCCTAAGCACATTTTCAGTTTAGACTCATTGCTGGCATTTAAGAGAAATTTTGAGCTTTGGTGTGTTTACAAGACTTAAAGTAGAATTTATTTACGTAAAACATGTTAATTCGTTATATCCGTTTTATATGTATTAATCCCACAGAAATGTTCTACGTCGTATTTTACATAAACCTGCTGTACACATCTTGTGTCGAAAAAGGATCACATGGTTTCCTACGTCAATTTCCCATAAGAATGTGGGTGGGGAAAACTTTGACCCTCTCAAATAAAACTCAGACACAGACATTTTTTCCGTCGTATTTTACATAAACCTGCTGTACACATCTTGTGTCGAAAAAGGATCACATGGTTTCCTACGTCAATTTCCCATAAGAATGTGTGTGGGGGAAACTTTGACCCTCTCAAATAAAACTCAGACACAGAGATTTTTTCCGTCGTATTTTACATAAAGCTGCTGAAAACATTGCATGACGTTGTCTAAAACCTTGTTATTTTGTTTGTGTTGCACAGGATTATTGGACCGGGGACAAGATGTGTTGCCACAACCTATTATATTAACATACCGGTCCAATGCATAGAAAGAATAGCCAATATATGCTCTTTTAGTAAACAATGCTATGCCGGAACTAGCTCTTGTAAAAGTCGATTATTGAAATAAATAAATAAGAAATCTTAATACGCACCTTTCTGTGATACACTGGAATCCGGTAATGAGGGCAGTTTATTTAGAAATTCCATAAGAGTATTAGTTTCGTCTTTATTTACACCTCTATCTTGAACTGACTCCGTGGCAATGCTGTTATCATTGTTGCTGCCAGCCGATGATTGTGTGTCAGTGGAGCCATTTTTATTTCCAAACCATCGACTAAATCGTGAGCTACCCATAATTTCATTAATGTTCCCATTTGAATTATCTCCTCGCTAGAAACAAATAATTCATTAACGCTAAAAATTAAACCTTTAAAATTAAGTATTTATGCTAACCATGAGTGAATGCTTGAGTGGGTCAAGATTAGGGTTAAGAAAAACGTCGAAATTAAATTCGGTGTCTCTTGTATTAATTCGTGAGTTACTTGAAGCTTTTGGTGTTGTCCCTTCTTTTTCTAATAAGAAATCAGGAAGAGATCCCTCATTGGCTGTCTTTTTTCTTTGAGTTATCTCAGAACTATTATTGTTGCTATCACCACCCTCAAATGAAGAATTTTTCTCTTCTTCGTTAGGAGGATCAACATTTTCGGTATTACTGCTTGGTAAATTATTTTGAGACATTCTTGGGGTGCAATTAACTTCTTTATCCTGGTCAACTGATCCATGCAAATGTTCTTTCGACTTCGAGCTAGACAAATTCATTGTGCTGCTTGCGCGAGAGGACGAACATTCACTCATTTTTCTCGACGATGATGAAAAAGCTGATCGTTTATTATTACCAGGATTCCGACTGTTGCCGGCATTGTAATGATCGTCGATTTCCTCGAATCCTCGCAGCTCAATTGTATCATGTTGTGATGTTGGACCGCCACTAAACCATTCAGGCTCCTCATTCCTTTCGTTATACTGATGATTGCGCCGATTACGGTTATGTGATACAATATGCTGACTTGAAGACGACTCCGGTCCATATATGTCTTTCCTAGTTACACCGCTATGAGCACTGGGTGAGTTTGTGCTGATACCTTGCTCATATTTATCACGTATATTATCATCATTACCGCCGCCACGGTGATCAAACTGTCGGCGTTCTGTAAATCCATTACCCCCACCAGAAGTCCGATCATTAGTTCGTTCAGTATACCGTCCCCCTCGCGTCTGCCCTAAATGATTTGAAGCTGCTTCTTTATCTATTGTTGTAACCGAGTTCAATATTTGACTTTTATCTCTGTCTTGTGCAGTACGATAATCCCAACTGACGTCGCGAGGGAGCAAGCGACCGCTTCCAATTCGTCGCTCATGAGCAAGGCCAACACTATTGTGACTGTGTCTCGCAGAACCTGACGAAACCGGAGAAGATAAGCAGCCATTGCTTGACTGGAGCTCTTGATCTCGATCGCGGTCGTGTTCAGCTAAAAAAATATTTAAAATAAAAAATTAAAACATGTAACGACATCTTATGGGCTTAGGAAACAAATAAATAAATAAATAAGAGCTTTTTTAAAAGAAAATAATAATACAGGCATGCGCTGAAAATTGTTTTCGAATGAATTTCCCGATTTCGATTTGAACTTTTTTCGAATATAAATCGAAGCAATTTGGCCTGTGCTAGAAATCGGAATCGATGGTTTTTTTTCCATTCTCAATTCGACCAGCTACTGGCGCGTGAAATTGTGTAAAGTTAAAAGAAAAACACAAAATATAAGTATTGTGGATAACTCAGTGAGAGGGGAGACCAGTATGTTTGCATGTATTTGTATAAAAATAAAATATATATTTATTGGACCAAAAAGTAGTGGGTAGGCACTGTGGCCAATGGTAATCAACTAATACCACCTCTGCATGATTGTAAGTCATGCAGAGTCCGCAAAAGACTCCGGAAGCAGTGTCCGTAGGATACATCAGACTAGGCCGAGCATCCTTTGAAGTTAGGGTTGCCAGACGTACTGCTTTTGGGAGTAAACGTACTCCTTTTTATTGCAATGTACTTCCTTGTACTCCCAAAAAAATATCTGGAAATGTACTCCTTTATTAGCTTTGCACTTCTTTTGTACTCCTTTTTCCAGCTATTAATATTTTATCATATACAGGGTGTAAAATAATATCTGTTGCATTTTTTTTTTTTATATAAATTATCCACAGATTTTACTTCAATTTTAATAATTTGTTTTTAAATTTCAACCTTCATTTGGGTTTACCGGCGGTAAACACTTTGAGAGAAAAGCGCAAGTAAAAAAAGTAGTTATTGTATAGTCTTTAAATTTGACCTTCATTTGGGTTTACCAGGGGGTTTGGGAGAAAAGCGCAAGTCTTCGTCCGTTACTTTATAACATATCTTCTGTAACCATAGGCTAATTTCCCCTATTTGGGTCCTTTATACTCCGTCTTTTGTCCAACATAAGGCCTATTACTCAGCAATCGAAAAGACTCGAAACTGGTGACTAGGAGGGCATTCATTCGACCAACCCTATACAAGTTTTTTGTTCTTCTTTTTATACAAAATCTAAGAAAAAAATACACCTGATAAAGAGGTTCGTGCCGCATGTACTTATCTCCCAAATCTGGTAAACGCAAATCAGGATTAAAATTTTAAAACCAATTAATAAAATTAAAGTAAAATATTTACAAAGTTAACAAAAAAAACAAAATCTATAAAGAACCCCTTTATTTTTCAAAAAACCTGTGCGGCAGTTATTATTTATTATTTTACGCACTGTACTTTGCCATTCATATTGTAACAAACACTACTTAGTAAGCAAAGTTAAGTGTGATAGTGAAAAGGTGTAAGCATGGCCTTAGGTGCAGGGCGCTCGGGTATAAAAATCGGAAAAATATTAAATTAATTATAAGGCTTAAATCAAAAAAAATTGCCATACATTCAGGAAGGAAGAGTACTTTTTAGTTTTTTAGTTGGGGAAACTTTCCTATAAGGGCGGTCAATGAAAACCGAATTCTACGTAAAAATACTGTGGACGCAGGTGGAAATTGTGACTTTTGGCAATTTTTCTAAGGGGTCCCTGGGGAACCATAGGGCCCTAGGTCGTCAGGGTAACATTTTTGTCAATGGCGGTTCATGCCCTCTCCAAAAAAGTCGGGAAAGGTGTCACGTCCACTCCCCTTCGATCACCATCTCTTTAACAACCGTCCCTATTGGAAAGCCAACCCATATAGTTATTTATTTTTCACATTTATTGTTGCTTTGAAAAAGATTTCTAAGATATCTTTGTTTGTTTGAACCGAATTAATGGTAATTTGTAACAATAAATTGCACAAAAAATTAAAAAAAAAATTTTACTCTTTTTTTATGTCATGTACAGCTTTTTTTCTATCGAAAATATAAATGTACTCCTTTCTCCGTTTCAAAATCTGGCAACCCTATTTGAAGTGCCATCTAATTAAAACTTAAGAAAGTTCAATTACATGGCAGTTGAGAAGTGCATGTGAAAAAATTTTATAAATTGCATAAAGGAAATTTTTGCACATGCAGCAGTACAAAGCATGTATTTAGGCGCCTGGTGTAAGCAGACGCACCTAAGCATATTGTTTTCTTCTGTTAGTTAAATTCATAAAAGAAAAACATTAATCTGACCACAGTATTTTTGGGTAGAACTTCCTTCTGCTTAGGGTAGGAATTATAACCCTTACAAGTAGAATTCTCCTTTCTGTGTTGTCGGGTCACGCGTTTGGATACAACAACCCAATTATACAAATAACTAAACCGTACCCATAGTTTGATCTGCATATACAAATGTATATTTATACACTTACATTGATTCGGAGACGTCTAAAAGGTTGGAATGGTGGCAGGATTACGATAACCGGGGCGACAAATTTTGACCAGCGCTGCCGATAGAGGTATTTGAAGCAAGTATAACGGTACAACTTTTTTTGATGGCAAACGAAAACTGCAGGAGTTACCAAGGGTCAAATGTCAGATACAGAATTTTTTGTAACCCCAAATATCTCGAAAAGAAAGAGCTTGCGGCGAAGAAAATTGAGAATCAGCCTGAACTTCAGAGTTTCTGCGATGCTTGATCGGATGTCTAGCTTTAGTTTAGTCATTTTTATGTTGTTTTATGAATTTTGTATCTGTAATATGTTGATGGTCTCTTTAGTTTTCGTAAAGTTCAATTCTCTTTTTAGAAATCTCTCTAACTTGCTTTTGTTTGGTTGCCTGTATGTTGTTTGTTCTAATTTATGGCTGTTAAAAATAATTAGAATGTTTGTAGTCTAGCGATGTTAAATGTTTTATGTAGACGTCATAATGTTGAGTCCATCAGTTCATTTCAATGCATGAAGCCTTAACTCTGTTAAAATTGATGTTGTTAGATATGTTTTTGAATGTTCATCCATTAATGTAATTTGTGTTTCTGAAACTTGGTTTCTTAATGATGTAAGTGACGTAAGCTATAGTTTGAGAAATTATAATCTGATCCGAAATGACCGGTTAGGGAGAAGGGGTGAAGGTGTGGCTATATATTACAAGAGCCATTTAAATGCTAGGCTTGTATGTAAATCTAGAGGAAGTGGCGTTGAATTTTGTTGAATTGTTCAACTCGTCTGCAAAAGTTTTAGTTTCCTATGTATACAGACCACGTAGGTCTAATTGTCTGTCATCTTTTTTCAAAGTTCTGTCGTCTTCGATCGTAGATTACATGAATATAATAATATGTGGGAATTCCAACATGAATCTGCTTTCTCGTGATTCATCTAATCTTACTGATGCTATAGACGGAGTTGATCTCTCTTTTGTTAGTACGACGGTACGTACTCGGTTTGAGAATAACTCTAACCCGAGCCTACTTGACTATTTCAATGTTTTTGACCCAACTATAGTTAAATTTTGACAAGTTATCGTTCATTTCAGACCATGATCTTATATTTTGTGCTGTTGATATTGATTTTGAGCGTCCTAGTAGCAGTAATACTTTTATGTTTAGGGACTATAAATAGGGTTCGAACGATACTATCGATATTGAGTAAGCATCGATACTGAGGGTATAAAAATTTGTACTCTAATACTCGATACCTTATTTGGTGATTTTACTCGATACTTTGCAAAGTACTCGTAGTATCGAATACTTTTTAAAAAACACACTTTTTAAATTTTGTATTCCATTGGCAACTCAATTTTCTTTGCTTATATGGATTACTATCATTCAATTTTGTCCATCACTTAAGATAAACTGAAATTTCGTGCAGTCTGTTGCATAACATAAACCAAAGAAGTGAAAGTTTAATAGCCTTATTCATA